ACAGAGCATGTTGTATTTTTCCAGTCCAATAGAGACGGCTTCTCTAAGTAATAAAGACTAAGGCCAAAGATTAAATGTGGGCAATCCCCCAATCAATCTATCATCTGATGTGACGCTGCCTCCAGAAACTCCTACAACTTTACAAGCGGTTTTGCAGCTCATGCATAGTAAATATAGAGACTTAAAATTTCCAGATATGTCCAACAGACAAAATCAATAAATTAAACTAAGTTAGAAAGAGTTATCCTAGTAGTTTAGAGAGTTCTAAAAAAGAAGAGACCTCTGATTATATAAGAAAAAGAAAGATTCTCCCAACAGTTATGATTAAGTTTAGTCCAACTTACGTTATAGGGAATAGATGGTGTTTTCACACAAAATATAAAGTTAGTAACATATTTCCTGAACCAACCAAGAACCATTTCCTTATACAGGAGCTTATAAAGATGAAATTAGTTGGATAAAAATAAAATTAAAAAGAGTATAATGTAAGTACAGCCCTGTCTTAGGTTTGTTAATTATTAAACATAAAAAGGCTGAATAGATGACGTATTCTATTAAACAATATGTTAGACTTGTTTCGCACCACTTAGCTTAAACAGTTGGTGGGATACTCATTAATTTTCATGTAATTCATCAATGCTTTGCCTTTAAAAAAAATTGATTACGTGCTTAAATAAACAAAGAATCTATGTCACAATCACACACTGTATAAAAATGTTAATTCTCCTCAATAAAGATACACTCAGATGCAACTCTTTTGAGTCTGTCTGTTTGTCACTTCACCGACTCCTTTGTCCACCTATCCCGAGATCCCTGTCCCGTCGGTCCCAGTGCTCCAGCCGAGCTGGTCCGTCCCAGTGGGGCCTCTGCTTGGACCGTTGAATAGAATGTTTCGTGGTTCCTCTGCTTGGACCGTTGAATAGAATGTTTCGTGGTTCCTCTGCTTGGACCGTTGAATGTTTCGTGGGGCCTCTGCTTGGACCGTTGAATAGGATGTTTCGTGGTTCCTCTGCGTGGACCGTTGAATAGAATGTTTCGTGGTGCCTCTGCTTGGACCGTTGAATAGGATGTTTCGTGGTTCCTCTGCTTGGACCGTTGAATAGAATGTTTCGTGGGGCCTCTGCTTGGACCGTTGAATAGGATGTTTCGTGGTTCCTCTGCTTGGACCGTTGAATAGAATGTTTCGTGGGGCCTCTGCTTGGACCGTTGAATAGAATGTTTCGTGGGGCCTCTGCTTGGACCGTTGAATAGAATGTTTCGTGGTTCCTCTGCTTGGACTGTTGAATAGAATGTTTCGTGGTTCCTCTGCTTGGACTGTTGAATAGAAAGTTTCATGGTGCCTCTGCTTGGACCGTTGAATAGAATGTTTCGTGGGGCCTCTGCTTGGACCGTTGAATAGGATGTTTCATGGCTCTGGCATCAGTTCCTCCCACCCTTTCACGGCTTGTGTCTGTATTTTGGGGTTAGGAAAACTCCAGTGGCTCCACTCCATTCTACCCTTAGTGTGGAAATGGCTTATTCAGGACCAGTTTCCTCCCCTCAGGCTTTAGTAGGTTGCTGTCATTGTAGCTTATACTAGTCATTGCTTTTTTAGTGTGGACTTACTGTGTTTGTCTGTTTCTTTTAGTTTATTCAATTAAAGAATGTGGCATTTAGGTTTGGAACCCAGCATTCAAGATTTCAGTTTGCTGTGCTCTATTGAAGTGAGTATTGTATACATAATAAAGGCAATTATATTCCTTCGTGTGTGTGTGTGTGTGTGTGTGTGTGTGTGTGTGTGTGTGTGTGTGTGTGTGTGTGTGTGATGTGATAGTACAGGGGCTTGAATTCAGGGCCTTGAGCTGTCCTAGGACTTTTTCACTAAGGCTGGCATTCTGACCCTTGAGCCATGCTCTGCCACTCCACTTTTGGCTTTACGGGTTAATTGTAGATAAGAATCTCAAGACTTTTATACTTGGGCTAGCTGTGAACCTTGAGGTTTCAGTCTCCTAAGTAACTAGGATCACTGTTGCAAGCCATCTGAAATTTCATTTCAGAAATGAAATGAAACTCTTTTTTCCCCCCACCTTGCCCTGAACTGTTGTCCCTGAACTGTTTTTAGGCTCAAGTCTAGCTCTCTGCCACTTGAGCCACAGCTCCACTTTTGGAGAAATTGGAGAAAGGCATTTCAGGGACTTTCCTGTTTAGCTGTCTTCCTATCTGAATTCTCAGATCTCAGCCTCCTGAACCAGGATTACAGGTGTAAGCCACCTGTTCCCAGCCCTTCTTCCACCACTCCCCAGATCTTCTATTTTAAGTCTTTAACCATTTTGAGTTGACTTTTCTTTGAGGTCAAAGACACATCTCATTTTACTCTTCTGCCTGTGGACATCCAGCTTCCCCAAACTCCTTTATTGGCTTTCCTTGTCTCATCTTCTGTTGACTATCTATGCTTGGGTTTATCTGTCCCCTTTCCATTCCACTCTGTATCATTGATCTAGGTGTCTATTTTCATGAAGGTGTAAATATTGACAACATGTAGATTATACCTCAGTTAACCTGATTTACAAAGTAGTTCTGAGGTCTGACTAGTGGTCTCCCATCTTTCCTCTCGACCTGCTTTCTGTCTTACTTCAGCATCTGAAGTCTGCACTGTTCCTGCCTCTGCCCCTAACATGCAGTCATGATTCACTGAGACTTTACCACAGCATAAGAAAGCATCTCTTTGTCAGACTACCCTGTACATATAATATAAGTGCCGGCATCTTGGTGCCAGGTTATGTTCTATGGGCCTTCACATTGCCCATTCTGTCAGTGCTTCTGATAATTTGCTATGGTAGTTACCATTATTGCTACCACTTCGAGATAAAGAAAACCAAAGTCCAGAGATGATCCTTTGCCAACTTTCCTGTGCTGAGACCATACTCATTCTTTTCCCTACAGGCACCTTGTCTCACTCAGGATGCTGAGTGTGTGCCTCTGTTCTGAACCCTGTTGAATTTGAGCATTTGTCGGTCTATGGTCCTTCAGCCACATAAAATAGAGGGAAGCAGGTCTCTGTCTCTCTTTCTTCCCCAGCTCTCTGGGATGAGGCAGAAGGCTTTCCGGTTTTGAGTTCTTGCCTGGGACACAACAGGTACTTTGTGAATATTAGTCCATTAGATGAATCCAGAAATGAAGAAGTATGCCAGGTGCTGATGGGTCATACCTGTAATCCTAGCTACTCAGAAGACTGAGATCTGAGGATTACAGTTTGAAGCCAGCTCACAGAAAAACCTTTGAGCCTCTTATTTACAATTAACCACCAAAAAGCAAGAAGTGAAGCTTTGTCTCCAGTAGAGCAAGATAGCCTTGAGCAAAGAAGCTCAGGGGCAGCACTCAGGCCTTGAGTTCAAGCTCCAGGACTAGGTGGAGTTTGGGACTTCAGAATCATCTGATGGAGAGTCACAGACTTGTCTACTCACGCGAGCTTTGAACTATGGTCCTCCATTTGGGGAAAGGACATGGGATATGGGGTTGGAAAGCCAGGTCCTGTTCTCAGCTCTCCACTGAGAATCCCTGACCTTCTGGTTAGCCTCACTTCCCCCTCAGTAAGGTCATCCCCGCTCTCCGTAGCTGCTCAGTATGGGAGACCAGGTTGAACACTGTTTTTCCACTTTCCCATTGCTGCTTAGGGTAGACTCAGGGGCTAGAAGAAGAAAAGCTAGAAGAGCACCTCTGAGGTGCTCCTTAGAGTATGTGTCTTACTACCCAGCCCCTTCTCAAGCTGCGTAATAAGACTGATTCAGTTTGGAAAATCCAGCCATATGGGGAACTATTAGCCTCTGCCTTTGCTTGTGATGCAACCTTGTTCACTCCAGGCTAAAAGCCACATCCTTCCTGCCCCTGCTGGGGCTGTGGCCACTATAAATTCGTGCCATTTCCTCTCTGCCTGTCCCTAAAGCTGGCGTCTGGGTAAGTTCAGCTCTGTGGTGCAGGGTAGGCAGCAGGCCTGGGGGAGGAATGGGGGGCAGCATTGAGCGGGTTAGCAGTGTCTTCTCCTAGCCTCTAAGTCTGTCCTTCAATGGCAGACATTAGGATATTTTAGAATGTTCTACTCTATTTATAATTTCTTGGGCTCCCTGTATGTGGGTGCATGTCTTTGGGGGTGTGGGGTGGGAGAAGGGCAGGAGCACAAACACAGCTCACACCCAGGACTTCAGCCGACTTTCCTCACATCTCTTCAGCAGACCAGAGAAGCAGGATGCATGTAGAAAGATGAACCTTACATGAGGAAGTGAATCGTAGCCCCTTAAGATGCATGAAGGAGTAGACTTGGGGATGGGGCGTGAGGCAAGTGTTGAGAGACAAGAATGGAGATGGACCAGGAATGGGGGAGGGTGAGCTTGAGGTACTTGAACACCAAATGAGGCATCTGATTTCGAGTATCAACCCTTTTAACGCTCTCTCCTTCCCATTAGTGTTATTTATAGCTTTGATTGATGTTGTTTTTATTTTTGTGTTTTTATCAGTTCTGGGGCTTGAACTCAAGGCCTGGGTGGTGTCTCTGAGCTCTTTTTGCTCAAGGCTAGCGCTCTTCCACTTTGAGCCACAGCAGCACCACTTTGGGTTTTCTGGTGGTTAATTGGAGATGAGAGTCTCATGATGCTGGGTGCTGGTGGCTCACACCTGTAATCCTAGCTACTCAGGAGACTGAGATTTGAGGACTCCGGTTCAAAGCCAGCCTGGGCTGGAAAGTCTCTAAGACGCTTATTTCCAGTTAACCACCAGAAAACCAGAAGTGGCATTTTGGCTAAAGTGGTAAAGCGCTAGCCTTGAGCTGAAGAGCTGAGGGACAGCGCCCAGGCCCAGAGTTCAAGATCCAAAACCGACCAAAAAAAAAAAAAAGAGTCTTCATGAACTTTCCTGTCCAGGCTGGCTCCAAACCTTGATCCTAAGATCTCAACCTCCTGCGTAGCTAGGATTGCAGACCCGAGCCACTAGTGCCTGGTGAGTTGATATTATTTTTTTGCTGCAAACAGTAAAATGAAGGGATCAGTTCCCACGGAACCAGCTTATTCATCCATTCAAACACTAGAAGATATGGAAGACTTAAAGACACAAAGCTCTGTAGAATTTGCAGTCATGTCAGGAAGACCACATTGGTGAGCATGGCAATGAAAATCTTGCAATAAGTGCTGGAGAAAGTGTGTTTGCCTTTTAATCACCTATCTTGTTTCATTGTTGTGGCTTTTTTTTGTTTCTCAGGGAACACCTAAATAAGTAGGGTGAAAGACCTGGTCCATGTCACTGGTCTCAATCTTGGCTGTCAATCTTGCTCAGTGGCTACGTAAGATAGTATGTAGCCGGGTACAGGTGGCTCAGACTAGCTACTCAGGAGGCTGAGGTTGGAGGACTGAGGTTTAAAACTAGCTAAGTCAGAAAAGTTCAGAGACTCTATCTCTAATTAACCAGCAAATTATCATATTGGAGGCATGGGTCAAATGATAAAACACCAGCTGTGAGCAAAAAAGCCAAGTAAGAGCCTGAGGCCTGAGTTCAAGCCCCAGTTACTAGCACACACACATACAAAAGATGGCAAAAGGAATATACATGCTGCACAGGGCTTTGTGTAGTCCAGTTGAGAATAATCAGTGCAGCACTCACCATACAAGAAACTAATATGAGTCATGTTTTTTGTATTTGTACACTCTACAGGGAGAGGTTAATGTGATGCACGTTTATATGCACTTGTATGTACCAAGTTCTCTCTTACTTCACTTTTAGTTAATGACGGATAGAGGGACAAAGGGAGCCATCCTGTCATCTGTACATCCCCTGCTGCGCTCTTCTCTGTCCCTCCACAAACTGCTCTTCTACTAAGTAGTCACTCATTTCTGAGCCTTCTCTTTCCTTTGTTCTTTTTTCCTTCAGGTAAAAATAGCAAGAAACCATAGCTTTCAGTGAGAAGGAACTGGAAGGCAATCCCTTCTGTTTTCAGGTTATAAATGAGGAAGCCAAAGTTGAGAAATAGTGACTAGCTTGTTCGTGGTCACAGCCCCGTTACCCAGAGTTCTCTTATTGATATGTGAAGGTTTGTGTTCACTGTGATATAATTGTATTTATGGGCTTATTATTTATTTCTACAGGAAAACTTTTCATTCATAGCTCAGGACATACTCATGGATCATGCCAATGGAGAGCTTTCTGGTATGCTTTTCAAAAATGAAAGCTGGTAATTCATTTTAGTTAGTGGATTTTTTCCTTTGAATTTTCTTTTTGTATGTGTGCCAGTACTGAGGCTTGAACCCAGGTCTTGCACACTTTTCTGACTTTTTCATCCAAGGCTGGCACTCTACCACTTGAGCTATACCTCTCCTTCTGGCTTTTTGGTGGTTAATTGGAGAGAAGAGTCTCACGGACTTTCCTGCCCAGGCTGGTTTGAACCTCGCTCCTCAGATCTCAGCCTCCTTGAGTAGCTAGGATTACAGGTGTGAGCCACCAGAGCCCAGCACTTTTATTTTTAAATTAAACTGATATGTCAAATTTGCATGTGCTTGGAGGGTGTCTTGACACATGCATAATAATGTTTTCTGAGTTCCTGATAATTTGTTGTCTTTAATAGACTCTCAGTCAAACATGCTGTTTGACTGCCTGGCCTGTTAGCGTGGACCTGAGCCTGAGGACCCTAGAGAGGGTTGCCGATGAGCATGACCAGTACCCGCTGCAAGCTCGCCCACCATCTGGAAGACCTGGAGGATGCAGACCTTAAGAAATTCAAAATGCATTTAGAAGATTACCCTCCAGGGGAGGGCTGCATTGCCCTCCCCAGGGGCCAGCTCGAGAAGGCAGACCATGTGGACCTGGCCACACTCATGATTGCCTTCAATGGGGAAGAGAAAGCCTGGGCCATGGCTGTGAGGATATTTGCTGAAATCAACAGGAGAGACCTACATGAGAAAGCTAAGAGAGATCAGCTAGAGTGGGGTGAGTAAAGACTATCTAACAAAACAACAAAACAAACTTGAGGCAAATAAGTGTAGGATCTTACTGCTCACCCACTAAACATAGCTGTCCATTACCCTGTGCTCCATGCTGTCTTCTGTTCCATCTCCATGAACTTCACTGTTCTGAGTTTCTCATATAGCTGAAATCATGACACATTTGTCTTTTTGTGAATGGTTTATCTCACTTAGCATGTTGTCTTCAAGGTTCCCTCATATTATATACCATGTCAGAATTTCCTTCCTTCCTTCCTTCCTTCTTCTTTCTCCTCGTCCTCCTCCTCCTCCTCCTCCTCCTCGTCGTCGTCCTCCTCCTCCTCCTCGTCCTCCTCCTCCCCCTCCTCTTTCTCCTCCCCCTCCTCCTCCTTGTCCTCCTCGTCCTCGTCGTCCTCCTCCTCCTCCCCCTCCTCCTCCTCCTCCTCCCCCTCCTCCTCCTCCTCCTCCCCCTCCTCCTCCTCCTCCTCCCCCTCCTCCTCCTCCTCCTCCCCCTCCTCCTCCTCCTCCTCCCCCTCCTCCTCCTCCCCCTCCTCCTCCTCCCCCTCCTCCTCCTCCCCCTCCTCCTCCTCCTCCTCCTCCCCCTCCTCCTCCTCTTCCTCCTTGTCCTCCTCGTCGTCGTCCTCCTCCTCTTCCTCCTTGTCCTCCTCGTCGTCGTCGTCCTCCTCCTCCTCCTCCTCCCCCTCCTCCTCCTCCCCCTCCTCCTCTTCCTCCTCCTCCTCCTCCTTCTCCTCCCCCTCCTCCTCCTCTTCCTCCTTGTCCTCCTCGTCGTCGTCCTCCTCCTCCTCCTCCTCCTCCCCCTCCTCCTCCTCCTCCTCCTTGTCCTCCTCGTCCTCCTCCTCCTCCTCCTCCTCCTCCCCCTCCTCCTCCTCCTCTTCTTCCTCCTCCTCCTCCTCCTCCCCCTCCTCCTCCTCCTCCTCTTCTTCCTCCCCCTCCTCCTCTTCCTCCCCCTCCTCCTCCTCCTCCTCCTTGTCCTCCTCTTCCTCCTCGTCCTCCTCGTCCTCCTCGTCCTCCTCCTCCCCCTCCTCCTCCCCCTCCTCCTCCCCCTCCTCCTCCTCCCCCTCCTCCTCCTCCCCCTCCTCCTCCTCCTCCTCCTCCTCCTCCTCTTCTTCCTCCTCCTCCTCCTCCTCTTCCTTCTCCTCTTTCTCCTCCTTCTTTTCGCTTGTCCTGTTGTCCTGGGGCCTGAACTCAGGGCCTGGGTGCTGTCCCTGAGCTTTTGTTCTCAAGGTTAATGCTTCACCATTTGAGCCATAGCTTCATTTCCAGCTTTATGGTAGTGAATTGGATGTAAGGGTCTCACAGACTTTCCTACCCCAGCTGGCTTCACACTACAATCCTCAGATCTCAGCCTCCTGAGGAACTAGGATTACAGGCATGAACCACTGGTACCTGGCCTTTGATTGTTTTTGTTTCTGACTGAAACACCTAGTGGAGAAAGACTCTACCCATGGTCTAACTCTTGACTGTGAGGCAGGGAGCCATGCTTAGTGTTTGTTGTGTGCCCTCATGAATGTGTTTGCCATGTACCCAAATTCATTTTACGTCTTTCATCATTCTCCCCATCTCTCCCAATACCAACCATCCTTTAAAGTTTACTAGTTCCATTTTTATATGTACATTGAGTATTATGACTAACTTTTGAGTTAACCTACACTTGTAGTATGAGAGGTTTCCTTGTGATATTACCATACATGCAGATAGTGTTCTTTGAACAAATCTACCCCTTCCAACCATTGCTCCAATTCTTCCTGTCTGCTGTTTACAAAGTGGTGATTTCATTATTTGCTATACACGTATAAACATAAATACATATGTGTACACATATGTATACATACAAACACACATACATGTATATATGTAACATTCTTTGATCCTTTTCAACCTCTGCACTGATCCTTTATTCCTTCTGCACTATTTTTGTTTTGTTTTTGGTCATGGGGCTTGAACTCTGGTCCTCGGTGTTGTCCCTCAGCTCTTCAGCTCAAGGGTAGTACTTTACCACTTGAGCCACAGAGCCACTTCTGGTTTTCTTGTTATTTACTGGAGATAAGGGTCTCATGGACTTTGCTGCATAGGCTGGCTTTGAACCAAGATCCTCAGATTTTAGCCTCCTGAGTAGCTAGGATTATAGGTGTGAGCCACTGGTGCCTGGCTTGCACTGGTTATTTATTTTGTTTTATTATTTATTTATTTATTTTGGTTGGTCGTGAGGCTTGAACTCTGGGCTTGGGCACTGTCCCTGTGCTCTTCAGCTCAAGGTGAGCACTCTACCGCTTGAGCCACAGTGCCACTTCCTATTTTCTAGTGGTTTATTGGAGGTAAGAGTCTCATGGACTATCCTGGCCAGGCTGGCTTTGAACCTTGATCCTCAGATCTCAGCCTCCTGAGTAGCTAGGATGACAGGTGTGAGCCACTGGTGCCTGGCTATTTTTTTTTTAATTTTAATTTCTATTACATCCACTTTTTAAGATTGTTTTTTTTAGGTTTTTCAGTTGTTTTTTTAAATCTTAGTTTTAGCAGCTTTCCGCTGGGGAAGCAGTCTTAGGGGATGGAATCAGGCAGTTCAGTCTACTTTTTCCACGGTGGAGGTGGTCAGGGTAATAATGTGGATCTCCTCCAGGTGACTGTCAGGTTGTAGCAGCAGCAGCAGCAGCAGGGTCTCTCAGTGGCTCCAAGGGACTGTCACACCTTGTGCTGGGCTGCAAATTCCTACACAGACCAGTGGTTATTGCATAGGCTTGGCAGGCTGAGACCCCACTAGTTTTTAAGACTATTTAGACAATAGCCCAGGACAATTTACCAAGATGACAACTTTTTAAACTAGATAGTTCTTTTAACAAGGCTAGGATTTTCTAGGCAGATATAGTGGGCTCAGGCCTGTACCACTATTTCCCATGGCTTTTCCTTCTGTCTGTTTTGCCACATTTAAAAGTGACCCTGGTCCCTTGTTCTTTTTTTTGGGGGGGGGGTCCAGTGGTGGGCCTGAACTCTGGGCCTGGGTGCTGTCCCTCAGCTCAAGGCTCTACCACTTGAGCCACAACACCACTTCTGGCTTTTTTTCTGCTTATGTGGTCCTGAGGAATTGAACCCAGGGCCTCATTCATGCAAGGCAAGCACTCTACCACTGAGCCACCTTCCCAGCCCAAGGTCCCCTGTTCTTAAAAGGGGATTATGGGCAAAGATCCATCTTCTGTGACTTCTCTAAGCTGACTCAGGAGTGTTGATGCTACCTAGCCAGGAACCTATAACCTTAGCCTATTTTACAAAGAGGTTACCAGGGTTACATGTCATTAAGAACAATATTTTAACTTTTGACAAATGCACAAACCTTTTCTCTGGCTACAGCAGTAGCTTATTTAGCTTTCTGGTTTGCAAAAGCATCTTTCTGGATGGTTTAGGTGATCCTAACAATGCCTGAGTTACCTATGCAGGCCTTTAGACAGATATCATTAAAACACACTCTCAGGTTTACAAATTTTTTTTGTGAACAGATAAATTTTATGTAGCTGGTGTCAGTTCAAAAGTTACTGCCAATTAGAGCTTTGGCACATACAGTGGTTGGGATTTAAACTATCCCCCACATTTTATAATTTTAGCTTTTTACTACTATCACAGAGGATGGCAAGTTCTTGTCCTTTACAAGGTAGATAGTCATGGACATTAGGTATGCTTACAAACTATCTTCCCATGACCTCCTGGCTCTGACCAGTTTTGAAGGGCCACGCACAAATGACTCTAGGATCTGACATTATTTCTGCCATCTAAGCAGTGGCTTATTGCCTCTGGATGCTCCTCCATTGCTTTTGTCCCAGGAGTGTCTTCTCCACACTGGGATAAATGCCTCATTGGCATTTCCCTTAGCTGGTCCCCCCTGGACTTGAACTCGGGGCCTGAGTGCTGTCCCTCAGCTCTACAGCTCAAGGCGAGTGCTTTACCACTTGAGCCACAGTGGCACTTCTGGTTTTCTAGTGCTTTATTGGAGATAAGAGTCTCATGGACTTTGCTGCCCAGGCTGGCTTTGAATTGTGATCCTCAGATCTCAGCCTCCTGAGTAGCTAGGATTACAGGTGTGAGCCACCGGCGCCAGGCTCCTTTATGACTTTTAAAAACATATCCTAATTGTAGGACATCATTGAAAGTGAGTCACATTATACAAATAAACTTTTTAACCCTCTTTTTAAGGCCTTTTTAATTTTAGCACATCCAAGGGGCAGTTTTAGCTATACTAATCAGATCATCACGCCACTCATTTTAACCATCATGTTTCCAGTGTCTATCTGCAGGGAAAAGGGACAGAACAAAGATGGGCCACTCGGCCCCTCCTGTGGAATGGGAATGCACCCAATCTGACTCTTTAGGGTTAGATGCATTTGTGCCAGCTTACCCTCTTTCACCATGCGTGGACTCCTCCCAGGGCCTGTCCCACCATCTGTGGATCCCCCCAGGGCCTGTCCTATCATGCATGATCAACTGAACTGTACTTCTGCCATTTCACCCCTCACCCCTAAAGATAGGTCTTCTGTTGGCTTCTAAGTTTTCCCCCTTTCTTTTCTCTTGGTTCTTGAATGAAATACACAGTTTCAGCCAGACAGAACAGGTAACGTCTTTGACAGTGTTAAACTAACCTTTACATTTAAGTTTCTAATATTTATCCCCAAATTTTAGTCAAGAGAACTAAATCCCAAGCAGCCAATGTATTTTTGTTAAGCCAGATAACTTGGTTACAGTGTAAACAGCTTTATGCATTTTAAAATTAGAATTGAAAATACCAGATTTTCTAATTTTCAAGTTAAAGAATCCTTAATAAGCCTTTTAAAACAATGTGAAGATTAAAAAAAAAATTTTGGTAACATCCAAACCTCATAACCTTTTCAATTTTAAACTTAAACTCACCCAATTATTGCAGCATGCTGACAATTCTTATCTTGAACATGTTCACAAACACATACAAAATACACTCAGATCTTAAAGCATACAAAAATTAAAATC